GCACACTTGTACATAGGTTGCCATCAATATTTCCAAACCATTTTATTTCTACTTGAGGCTTTGGTATCAGCTCCACTTTGTTTCCCCTCCCTCCCCCAACTGACCACCCTTGAGAATCCTTGATCAATTATATATTATTATTGTTGTTGTTTCATGTCTTACACTGTCCGTTGTCTCCCTTCACCCACATTTCTATTATTCATCCCCCTGTGGGGTGGGCTATATATCCAATCTTGTGACAGGTTCCCCCTTTCTCCCCCTCCCCCCACCCCCACTATCCCCCTATCCTCATGATAGCACTACTCCCACTACTCTTCCTGAGGGTTTTATCTGTCATGAATTCCCTGTGTTGAGAAAGCTACAACTTTGAAAGGACACATGAATTTTATGATACTAGTCTGATTAGTGACTAGGGGTCTCCACCTAACAGAGTGCATCCTTTGAACCCAGAGTTCCTGCTGGTGAACCTCCTAGACCCACAGAAGGAATGATGTCAAGACATATGGAGATCTCCAAGGGATACCCAATCCACAGATGCTGAAAGTTGTCTGCCTCTGAATCCTGTGTGTGGTATTTCTGTTATATCAGCATGAGATAACTAAGATACCATTGTTGATAAGGACTTAAAATGATACAGATACATTGGAAAGCAATTTGGTTTATTCCTTAAAGATGAAGATGTACTGTTCTCAGTTCTAATTAGAAACTCGAGAAATTCTTGTGCTCACCGAAGACACATGCTATCAAACAGACATCAAACCACAAATGAACAAGAGTTCTAGATACTAATACAGGAGAATCATACAAAGTAATACTGAGTGAAACAGCAAGTCAGAGATGAATTTAAAAGATCCTGTTTAAATTAAAACCAAATGTATATATAGAACTTAACAATGTTATTTAGACATGCATGTGGATGTAATAAAACCATTGTAATTTCTCTCTAATCTCTCTCTCAATCTCTACTTCTCAATGTGTTACCTGAGTAACACATTGAGAAATATGATTAATACAATTAATGAGGGACACATAAGAGACAAGGGTCTTCAAAGGCAATGAAATCTTGTGTTCCATAAGTTGGATAGTAGGCATGACATTCGTTTTCTTATTATTTTAAACATTAAAGTTAAATGAGTTATAATTTGCAAACAGTAAAATCCAGCCTTTGTAGAGGTGTGAAGATGGTGCCAGAATATGAGGTTGCCTCTGATTGCCTACCCGTTGTCATTGGACCTGGGCATATCCACTCTCTCTGCCCTCTTCCAGTATACCTTTCAAGTACACTGGCCTCAGGGAGACCCTCTCATCATTACCAGGTTCTTGTGAATTTTAAGGTGAAATGACTTTCCTGTGCAAGCTGAGAGCACCACCATATATGATCAGTTGCTAGAGAGGGACATGATTTAGGGTCAAGTAGAGGGTCACCCAAGGCAAAGGAGACCTTGGTGAGATGGATTGGCACAGAAGTAATGACAGGGATTTGAACGTGCTGGTGTTTATCAGGATGACATCAGACTGGGCAACATATCCTGCTCTTCTAAGTTTGCCATGAGTTGGAGTCAGTCCCGCAGTACCTAAGACCCATGCGAGCAGGTGCCAGGTCGGCCTCGGTCACCTCCTGGAAAATAGTGCTTGGCTCAATATTAGCTCAATCAATGAATGGCATATTCTCAGCTCCAGTAAGTAGGGTGAAGCAGAAAGTGAGGTAAAAGGATCCCTGTGTGCTCACTTCTTCCTTTTCAGTAGATCAACAAGAAGTTGGTCCAATCGCTCAATGGCAGAAAGGCTGACAACAGAGATTGAGCTCCTTCAGAGCCCCCGACCCCGACCCCGACCTTCTAACAAGGTTACTTGTTCATTCAGGAAGCACAAGCTGTGTCTTCTCAATGTTTTCGCACCTACTTCCAAGTTACAGATTCCTAAAATATAGAGAATAACTGGAGAGAGGGGAAGCAAGATACTTCTCTACTGAAAATCTTTCCAAAGTGTGTCCAGTCTCATTAACTTAACCCTAGCCTCCCTCCGTATGAGACAGCAAGAGACCAGGGCATCATCATGCTCTGCGTCTTCTCTACTTGTATTTTTCCCCCCACAATAAGCCTTGTGACCTACTACTCAATATGCCTGTGAATCCTTTGTACAACAAGGGAAACGTAAGTTCAGTTTTGCAAGTGATAATTTTCAGATGGATATATCTAAAATGCAGGTGTCAGAGTGAAGAGTTTCGTGTCTGTGATGGAGAAACAACTTGAGGATCATCACCATTCATTCCTTTAGATTTCTGTGAGACTCTAGAAGTCTTCTAATTCAGCCCCAGAGTCTCGTGAATGGGTCGCTGGAAGAAATAAGACTTCTGATTAATCTTCAAGGATGGAGTTATTTGGCTAACAAGATGTGAAGAGATGTCACTGTCCAGAAAGGACACAGCAGTTATCGCCTTTGGCGGGTTCCATTAGGCTGTTTCCCAGAGCTTCTCTTCTCAGAACAGCCATCAACAGGCACTTCAACTAATCCTAAGTCTCTACCGACTCCAACCTTGAACAACCAAGTCTCCTCCATTGATCCTGCAAGGAGCTCCTCCCAAACCTGCTGATGAGATGCAATGAGGACGTTTTATTAAGTACAAGGGATTGTTAAAAATTGTATTTGATTCCTAAAGCCGCCTTCAGGAGTTATTAACAGGGGAGTGTCTCTGATCAAGAAGACACCACAAACCTTCATCTTCTTTTACTGTGATGAAGCCATGAAACTGGAAAACATTCACAGTCAGGATACTGTAGATTGGATGGTTTTATGGGAGCAGAGAAAAAGTAAGGAATATGATCAAGACTAGAAAGAAATAAGGTTTGAGGAAAGTTAAGGTTGATTGGGAGGAGGATGTTAGGGAACCTTGTGATGTGATGGAGAGGACACTGTCCCAAGAATGACAGGCGGCAATGCTGAACCAGGCTCCACCTCGACTCTGTCCCATGCTGCAGGCAAGACTAGAAAATCGCATGTCTCTGTTCCTCTGCCCTCTCTTCCCATCCCAATAGTATTGGCTGGACTAAACTAGAACCCAAAAGTCCCACCTTGTCCCAAATACGATTCTGCACTTTGACTGTATGAAATTCAGTTAGTCTCTGTAAAAGGCAGTGAGCATACTAGTACACAATGAGTGCTGATGATGTTTTGGTTACAAAAATGGGTGAATGTTACCATATCCAAGAAGAAAACACTTTTAGAAACATTGTAATGATAACTAGAGATCATTATGCAAGGGCAGGTGTTTATCTGCCTCTGGCTCCCTCTAGAATTATTAACATTTCTGAGGCCTCTAGGGGTAAAAATAAGGTGGAGGAAAATCTCAATGTGAAACTGATGTAAGCCACATTGTTCCTCTCATCTCTCTTTCTCTTCTTTATAAGCCACCCCCTCTGTAGGAACTACTAGGCTATGTGGCTGTCCTTTTTTCCTGCCTGGGAAGTGTCTGACTGTCCCCTTGGTTGGGTGAGTGCCTTCCCAAGACCCTCACTGTAGTCTTGGTTTCCATGCATGCTGTTTACCCTCTCAGTTCCAAAAGCTTCTCTCTTCCTTGAAAGAGATCCAGTGGGAGTTAAATGTCTAAATGTAAGGGAAGAGAGAGACAGAGAGCGCTATTTCAAGTCTGGATAACTGAAAAGATGGCAATTGACTACCCAAAATAGTTAAGTCAGGAACAGACTGAGAATAAAGAACATTCAGATTTGGAGAGACTGAATTTAAGGGGATGGCGACAGATAGATAGTAGTTGACCCATGTGATCTTATGGGCATTTTTTTTGCTCAACCTTCAATCTGATCATCCTGCAGTGCCTTCCTCTGTCCCTGCTGTTCATTCCATGGGTATATCCAAATTGACTCATTCGGTATACAGAGCAGACTAGATGTGAGTGACTTAAATATCCACATACCTCTGTCATCACCACAGCTTGAGACAGACCAATATGGACTTTGTGAACGCACATCAGGGATGGGAAAAGGAAAGCATTATGTAAGTGATCAGGGATGCAAGCAGTTCCCAACACTGTAACAAACTTAGAACTTATCTATTCATCATGTCCACAGTAGTATGTGTGCCAGATGGGCATGTAATAAGAGCCTAGATCCAAGAGCAAGTGGCAGTGGAATTGGAGGAAGCAGGGAATTCATGGAATTGATATTTGCTTTATTAAGACTAGTTGTGTGAGCCAGGAAAGAAGTTTAACTGAGAGCTTGAATCTTGAATCTCTCACTCTAGTCAGAGGTGCTCTTCTTACTTCAAAAGCTTTTCTGACTCCATAAAAGATCGATACTTGGATTCCCAAATTTCTCAGGCTCTCCTACTATTTCGAAATCGAACGAATTGGTAATTACCAACTGAAGAGCTGGGGATGTCCTCAATGACATCTCCTCCCTTTGTGATGCACTCACGATTTTCTGGAAAGTCCAGATCAGGTCTCGTCGTTTCCCATGGTTACACAGATTAACCTCTTACTTAATAGTCTGGGAAATGACAGCCATCTCATTACTGCCATCAGACACGATGCACATGGAGGTTCCAGGGACGCAAGTTAAGAAGAGCATGACTTTAGTCTTCTTCCCGTTTTAAAGCCTCCATTTCATCCTCTGGGATCCTATCCCCAAACTATGCTTAAGCCGCCATCTGCAGGCTTGGGCTTTCTTCTTAAAACTCTGGCCTCAGGAAAATAATCTCCCCCTTTAACTTACAAATGTCACATTTATTTCCCTTTTTATATCCCTTAATTTAGCTCTGTTTAATTCTATCCAACCCCACTGTTCTTACCCCTTGTGAGTCAGATTTTTCAACTACTTTCCTACTGTGTCTCGACCTCTCACTTTGTTTTCCTTCAGTGTTATTTTGTTCTTACAGCCATCCTCTTTTCCCGGATATTAGCACCGGCAGATTCTAAAGAGCTCCTTCTCCTATTTCCATTGACACCTCCTGGCCTCGCTCAGTTCTACTGCTGGAAGAAGAAGCCCATGGATCTGGGAGCCCCAGGAAATGGTTCTGTGGTGATTGAGTTTGTCCTCCTGGGTCTAACAGAGGCTCCCGCTCTTCAGCCCATCCTCTTTGGCATTTTCCTTCTTGCTTACATAATTACTGTTGGTGGAAATTTCAGCATCCTGGCTGCCATTCTCATTGAGCCCAAACTCCACACCCCTATGTACTTCTTCCTGGGGAACCTGTCGCTGCTGGATGTTGGATGCATCACCGTCACTGTCCCTGCCATGTTGAAGCATCTGCTGTCCAGTGACAGGCGCATTCCCTATAGACTCTGCCTCTCACAGCTCTTCTTCTTCCACCTCCTGGCAGGGACAGACTGCTTCCTACTGACAGTCATGGCCTATGACCGCTATCTGGCCATCTGTCAGCCCCTCACCTACAGTACTCGCATGGGCTGGGGAATCCAACGAACCATGGTGGCCATGTCCTGTGTCTTTTCCTTCTGCAATGCATTGACCCAAACGGTTGCTTTGTCCACTCTTCAATTCTGTGGCCCTAATGTGATCAATCACTTCTACTGTGACCTCCCACAGCTCTTCCAGCTCTCCTGCTCCAGCACCCAACTCAATGAGAAGTTGCTCTTTGTAGCAGCAGCCTTCATGGGCGTTGCCCCCTTGGTCCTCATCACTGTGTCCTATGCCCATGTGGTGGCTGCTGTGCTACGGATCCGCTCTGCCGAGGGCAGGAACAAAGCCTTCTCTACATGCAGCTCTCACCTCACTGTGGTGGGCATTTTCTATGGGACAGGTGTCTTCAGCTACATGAGGCTGGATTCAGTTGATGCTTCAGACAAGGACAAGGGAATTGGCATCCTGAACACTGTCATCAGCCCCATGCTGAACCCACTCATCTACAGCCTTAGGAACCCTGATGTACAGGGGGCCCTGCGGCGGGCACTCATGGGGAGATGGTCCTCCACGTGAGGCTTCCTTCCTCTGGTATGAAGAATGGCATTGCTCGACTTACTGCTTTCTGAGAGGTATTGTGATTAGTGCAAAGGGAGTTTGGCTATGAGGTCAGAGACTGGTCTGTGAAGGAGAATACAATAAAAGTGATCATCAAAAAGTAAACCCATTGCCCTTGGAGTTGATTCTGACTCATGGCAACCCATGTGTGTTCAGTGTAGAAGTGCATTCCATAGGGGTTCTTGGTTGCAGTCTTGATATCAGCTCCCCAGGCACTTCTGGATGGGTTTGAAACATCAACCTTTAGGTTAGTGGTTAAGCACCAGGGATAACAGCTAACACTTAATATGAGAGGGCTTCAAAGTATTATGGAATAATGGAATTTTTCCATAAACTTTTAAAAGCCATTCTGTATCAAGCTTAAGAAATCCTGATGGAGTAGTGGTTAAGCCTTGGGCTACTAACTTCAAGGTCAGCAGTTCAAAACTACAAGTCACTCCACAGGAGAAAGATGAGCCTTTCTACTCCCATAAAGAGTTATAGTCTTGGAAACCCGCAGGAGAAATTCTACCCTGCCCTATAGGGGCTTTATGAGTCAGAATTGACATGATGGCAGTGATGGGTCGTTTCTGTTTTCCCATCATGCTTACTACATATCAGGTACTCTTACAAGCAATAGACATGCACCAGCTTATTTAATTCTCATAGCAGTGCTATAAAGCAAGCACTACTGTTATTTCCAGTTTACAAATGAGGAAACTGAGCTTGCTCAATGTTGTACAGCTCTTATAAACATCAGGGCTGGGATTCAAACCTAGGCTGACTGTGCTTTTAACTACTACTTCTCAAGGGTGATACATTATTTCAGAGAGGAATGGTTTCCGTAAGATTGAATGAAGGGATGGGCAGTGAAGAGGAAAGAAAGAAAAGAAAAACCAATGTGGTAGGAAGAAAAAAACCTATTTAAATAAACTGAGAACATGAACCACAAAAGCTTTGTTCTCTTAACGAAGTTGCAGTTTGTTGACAGGATTACTGAAAGCTTATTTCAGCAAATAAACAAGCTAAGAGGAAACACATTTTGAACCTCAGTTCTCAGGGGATGTGGGTATTTAGAAATGTTAGAGTAAAGGTGAGATGCGATGGGAGAGAAATGAGTCAATTTCTTTTCCTTTTCCTCCAGCACCAGCGAAAAATACACGTAATGATGCTGGATCAAGAGCTTTGGGTAATATGGTTTGTTTGTTTACCTGACTGAAGGGAGGTTTGGGTCGTCTCTGGCATACACCTGAAAGCAGCTCTCCCTCTTTGGCTTTGCTGTCAGAAGGAATCTCTCTCTCATGCTTTTAACTGCTAGCTTTAGGCAGCTTTGATTACAAAAACATTAGGAAGTATAAAAAGAATAAAATAAAAATCACCCAAAAGCCTACCAGTCCAAAATCATCATTAAGAACATTTCATAGGCCATTGCTAAACCATTTTCATATTTCATATGGCTTTACAAAAATAAAACGATGTAATGCCTAAAGCTCTGAAATGGCCTTTTGTCAGTTAACAATGTAGGTGTATATCGTTCCCTGGCACAACATTTAGATCATCCGTATTCGTTTTGTGGTTGCACATGCCTCCTCGGAAGGGATGGGACAAAATTAATGGGACAATCTTCTACTGGTGAACGTTTATTTCAAATAATCATGTCTGTGTGGAAAACCACAACTTCCTCTGTACACACCCATCTAACTATCTACTGATGATGAATTCCCATGAGTGACGCTCCGGAATCAAAGGATGTAAACATTTCCAGGTGCTTGAAAGCATATGGCCAAATGGCCCTTCAGAAGGCTGAGCAAACTGGCACATCCATACCGTCTTTGCCCATAGGATCAATCAAATGTTATAGTTCAATATTACTTTAATTTGCCATGATTTAATCATTTGTAAAACTGACCATCTTTACCAGTACCTTGGGGAGAAAGAGAAAACTCTAACCTGGCAGAGGAATGAAGTTAGTGGGAAAAGGTTTTGTGGGTGAGATGGAGCTTGGACCCTGTATTTAAAGGCAAGTGGGCAACCACCAAGTTGACTGTGGAGAAGGTCATTCCAGGTAGTGTGACCTCTTTAAGGGCCATTTGAGGGAAACGGGGGAAAGAGGAGAGAGTGGCCGTGGTGTTAGAGAGTGAATAGGAAGTCGAGAACTGAAGACCACACCGTTGGAAGCAGTTAGCTGTGCCTGCCCTCCAGGAATTCATTCTTATGGCTGGTGTGGCAAGTTGACTCAATCCCCGATCCTACAGCAGGGCGGCAAAGGAATGGCCAGTTAGCTGGGCATGAGTGATGTTTGAACTACTGAGAGAAAGAAAGGACTAAGGGAGATGGGAGTTTTGCTTTCATTTATTTGAAGGTGAGAGAAGTTGCATATTTATATGCTGCTGGGAAAACAAAAATAGAGAGGTGGTGGGATGCTTAAGTTGACCTAGAGCGAGGAGTTGACCAGTAGCATGAAGTATAAAGGAACGGTGTGAGGAAATGAAACAGTAGTAACAGAAATGATTGGTTTTCTATATATGGACATACTTTAGAGAAAATACTCAGCAAAGTATTTTTTGAAGGAAATATGGTTACAACAATAATAACAGCAAAAAAAGAAAGAAGTATACTAGAGTATAACTATTAACTAAGTCATTATTACCTCAAGCTGTTCCATTTGCTAACAATCCATTTTGTTAGGAATTGATTGATTCATTGAACACGCATATACTGAAAATAAACTATGTGCCAGGAACTGCACTGGTGTTAAAGATACCCAATCTCCCTCTTCACAGAATTCACAATACACACAAAAAAATCATAAAATATATTAATAATAACCTAGAATTATGCAGAGATTCTACTATCCCAGAGGATTGCTGAACCTAGAAGCCCTTCAAGTATTGAAAACCAGGCCTGGCTACCTTCCAATACTCAGGAGTTTTAAATTAATAAAGATAATGTATATAAAATGTTTTTGTCACTCATTCATTCATTTGTTACTCGTTGCAATGCCATGAACTATTTAATCTGGCTCTTATTGCCATAGCCTTTGCTACTTCCACCTAAATGGCCTTTCATTTCCTGATGGGTCTGGTAACGAGGTGAGGAAAGATACTGCTTGGATTGTATGACTCAGCTGTGAGTGATTGTGAACGGGGTTCAATGTGATGGCCATCGTGCTGTCTAAAGTCAGTCAACTCAGAAGCAGGAAGTGGGATTTCACTACAAGCAAGAGAGAAGAGCCAGGGATGGAGCATGTCCTCTGGCCCCTGAGATCTTTGCTCATCAAACTTCCTTGACCCAACTTTGACACCAGAAAAGGGTGAGAGTAGCAACTGCAACAGAACCAGGAGCCACAGAATGAGACAGGGTGGTAGATTCCCCAGCTCATAAAGCAAATAAAGTGGAGTGCTTACGGAAGATGGTACCCAGTTAGCCCCTCTTCTCTTCCCACTCCCAGTTCTCCAAACAAGATCTTGACCCCTCCAAGACAGCTCCAAACCCTGCCAGCCCAATTAGCAAGAAATGTACACTATCTGGCAAGACCCTGAATTACTACCTGCAGCTGTGCTGTTTCCCCCCAAACCAGAAACCCTGCCAACCTGATGAGAAAGAATGTGGCTATGAGCTGGAGATCCAGAGCAGGCCAGAGATCTGGAGAAGAGCTTTTGTCCTCCCTTGGCTGTGAATACCAAGCTAAGTCCGTTTCTGAGGACATCCTCAACTGATGGCAGCAGAGTGGACAAACTGCCTGCCCTTACATCCCCTTCCAACCCAAAACATCAGAAATACAGCCAGTTTGACCCAAACAAAAATATGCATGTGTACAAGTTGTACACATTTGTACAAATGTTTCTGTACTGATCCTTACAACAGCCAATAAAAAGCCAGTTTCCAATAATTTTTTAAAAACAGTAAAAATAAAAAATAAAGTGATGTGCTTGAGGCTAAGAGGCTAGCTTATGGAGTCGGGTGCATCTGGGTACTTAATCAGGGGAGCTGGGTTTGCAGATCGACAGAGCTGGAGCTGAGTGACTTCAGGCTGAGGCTTATGGTAGACTGGTGTGTCCTGTGAGTATTGATTGGCAGCCCTAAAAAAAAAATTGTATCATTATATAAGCAGGGCAAAAGCCAGGCAGAGAGGATGAAGGCCAGAAAGAGGCCTGTCTGTGAATGCAGCAGAAACTGTCTGGATTGAACAACTGTATCCTGAGCATTTCTGTTAACCTGTTAAAAAAATTGTAGTAATCAGTTAACAGAACTGTTAACCTGTTAACTTCCCTTAATAGTGAGCATTGTCTGTGAGTTCTGTGTGGTCATGGCAATGAATTATTGAACCCAGCTTATAAGTAGAGTGATGTGGGAGACAGAGCACCCAACAAATGATTACAGAAGTCCTGGCACAAGGAAGAACAGAGAGGGAAATTCGGCTCTGCCCTCAAGGAATTCTTTCTGATGTCTGCTTTCCTATAGCATGGCAGAAGGGGAACGCCCTCTGCTGGGCATGAGTGGTGTTTAAAGTATTGTAAGGGAAAAGCTGTCAACACAGCATTCTTCATCCAACCAATGCGTCTTTCAAAAATCAAGGTGAAATAAGGACTTCTCAGAAAAAAATAACCAAAAGAATTTACTGCCGATGGACTTATGCTATAAGAACTATTTAGGAGCCTTGGTGGTGTAGTGGTTACGTGTTGGGCTGTGATCCGTATGGTTGACAGTTCGAAACCACCAGTAGCTCTGAGGCCAATAAACTATAAGAACTATTTAATGGAAGTTCTTTCACTAGAAGGAATGTAAAGTTTGCACAACGTTCTAAAATCAAGCAATTCAATTCACCATGCCAGCTTACTATATGACCATCTCAATAGAATCAGAAAAAGCATGTGGCAAAATTGAATATTCCTTCATGATGAAAACTCACAAGAAAGAAGCAACTGAAGGGACCTTCTCAGCATAAGAGGAAGTATCTAAAGAAAAACCTAGATTTA